GACAGGTTTTAAGTAAAAAAAAAAACAGGACGGGACGGGACGGGACGCGGGACGGGACAGGACGCGAGACGGGACGGGACGGGACGCGGGACGGGACGGGACGAAACGGGACGAAACGGGACGGGACAAACGGGACGAAACGGGCATCCCGTCCCGTCCCGTGTCCCGCGTAACATTGGCCCATCCCGTTGAATTTTTAGCGGGACGGGACGGGACGGGACGGGACCGGGACGGGTCGCGGGACGGGACGGGCCGGCCCGTCCCGTTGGACAGCCATAGCCATAAGTAAGCAGTTCAATTTAAATGACGCTTTTCATTTTGAAGATTTTCAAGCATTAACATCTACTGCACCTTTTCTTTTGAATTTATCTTTTTTAGTATTAATATCTTAATATATTTTCTACTATTACCTACAGTTAAATTAATTTATCTTAAACTCGTAGTCCAATAGTATAACAGAAATGAATTTTTGGGAGAGAGAGAGACGTGGGATGAGTGGGGATACTTATCTATACAGATTCCTTTAATTAAAGAGTAAAAAACGTATAATTAATTATACCCTTAATTAATTATGGTATTGAATTGGTAATTTAGTATACTAAGTGTAATTAAGTTAAACCTTAAACATTGAGGGTAATAAGGTTTCCTATGTGGCACAAGAATGTAAAAATTCCATAACTTTCTACTGCTTCCACGAGCCTTCATTTGTCATAAATTAGGCTAAAGAGAAATTAAAGAAACAATTGTTTTCGTCGAATATTCACTACTTGGCCATATAATTAATTCAACATCCTATGGTAATCCATGAGGATGTATACAGTGACATTGACTATTATGCGTTTTTCATACTCTTTCTCTCTTCTTCTACTTTCGCTTCGTTTCTTCTGTCGTTGATACAGAAACAAAAAGAAAGAAAGAAAGAAAGAGAAATGTGCTTTAGAGAAGTTAAAGAGCATTATTTGGTGAGACTTGAGAACGGTGGCGAAAACACGATTCTCATCGAGGGGATTCAAAAAATAAAAAAGTAAACACGCGAATTAGCTAAAATGGAGGATTTAACATCTAATATAAATACGTGAAAAAAAAATATAACCTTATATACACAATATAATTTTCGACGAGGGACCCCTTCCGCCCTCCTAGCTATGCTTGAGTACTGCCAACTAAATAGACTCATATGTACAGTCTTTTTACGTAATTAATGCATTATTTAAATATTTTCATATAACTAATATAAAAACTTTAATGTATGTGTCTATGTATATCACTGATTTAAGCACATGTCTATACATGTAGTTAACTTTATTCCTTTTTTCCATATCTTGACATATCGGAACAAATGAATCAAAGTCCGATAAATTACTAGTCAAGCTATATTTTAAGCATCAAAATCATAGTGTGGAAAGCTAAAAATTGAATAGCAAAGCTGACGCAAATTAAGCGGAAGACCTCCAAAAGAGAGGACCAAATTAAAGTCATCCTAGTCAGTACATACCTACCACCCACTCTATTGCAGTCAAGATTCAATGAATGTTAACCTAATTGTGCCGGTAAAAGATAACAGGTATCTCGTTAAATTAATTGAGGTGTGCGTAAACTGACTCGAATAACACGATTATTAGAAAAAAAATCAGCCTATGTTGTTTCCTGGAACTTGCCTCCTCTTATTTGGACAGGCATCACTTTGAATGACTTACTACATCTAGAAGATTTAGCCCCCGCAACCCCGCACCCCACCCCCCTCCCCCCTCCCCCCCAAAAAAATAAAAAAAAAATCAACTGCAGCCACTTACAAACCCAAAGTTCAAAATTTGATTTGGCCTAGATAATTCATATTGACCCAGATAATGTTTATCGAGTTATGACGACATTGTCGGCTAAAAAAGTTCAAAATTTAATTTTCAAGTTATTTTAATTTAATTTGATGAACCTAGTTATTTTCCACTTGGTATCATACATTTCTAATTATTACATTCAAGAATTTTTAACGTCAGTTTTAATTTTTCCTTGAAAAGAAAATCAAAATGGACAGTTTTAGCACTACCGATATGGCGGATCCACGTCATGTATTATGGGTGCTTAAGCAATAAGCAACCTTTGCTTTTGAAAATAAACACTATTTATAGAGAAAAACTAAAAATATATGCAAATGCATTAACTAAGCACCCAGAAGTAGTAATTTTTAAATTAAAAATAATTGAATATTTATAATTTAAAAATTCTGGATTCGCCAGTCATTGAAGGAGAAGATATGATTAAAAAAATATCCAAAGAACATGTCACCAAACTTATTATCGAGTGCTTAATTTCCTAAAAGGAATAACATAAAAAAATTACTATCACTAAATAGGTTTTACAAAAGAAATTAAAATAAGGAAGGTTATTGAAATATTTCAAATCACAAGAGAGATTAGTATCAGCATGAAACAATATTTATGGAAAAGTTTCCGAAGTTTTTTATTTTTTATTTTTTTTATTGAATTATCAATGTATATCTTGTTCACAATTCACATGATGAGAGAATGAGAAATTTAAAGAGGAAAAAAAAAAAGAAAAATATGCAAAATTTCTCCCGTCGCAGACCCACGTGACTTTCACGTGTCATTTTGTTCTCAAGAAATGAGGACCCGGCTAAGGGGGCAGCACTCAGGTCATGATCAGACAGCCACTATAGTATAGTACTCCTAGTCATTTACTTTGATCATCCAAATATTTGCATTATCATCGAGTTATAACTTTTATAATTACTAAGTTCATAATTAAATATTTATATATTTTAATTAAAAAAATATTTGGTTTAAACCAAAATTATTGAATTGCTCAGAACTTGTATTCTAGGGCGGAGCCAGTGTTGGTTGTGGGTTCGACAAAATCCAATAACTCTAGCTCCGTCGTCTCAAAATATGTATAAATACAAAGGATGATCCTATGTTTTTATTCTTTTGGTCTTCCTAAAGTTTTTAATCACATAGACTGGCTTTTCAAACTCTCAGCTTCTTTTTCTTCCCTTTTCAACTTTTTTATGGGCATGAGTGAAACCATGCCAAACCCTACCAACTGGGCACAATTCTACCAACACAGCCTCTCCGGCGGCCAACCTCAAAGATCACCGTCAACCACCGTATTCTCCGACGGTCGAGTCTCTGATTCTACGGTGGTCACTACCACTACCACTTCCATAGTGAGTAGTAGTAGTACTCACCACAACCATGGCCCAGCCGATGGCCGTGTTTCCAAGCCTATACGACGTCGTTCACGAGCTTCTCGACGAACACCAACCACTGTATTGAACACAGACACCACCAACTTCCGAGCCATGGTTCAACAGTTCACTGGTGGCTCAATTACTGCACCATTTGCGTCAACACAGGGAACCTACTTAGGTTTCGGCTCTAGCTCCTCCAATAATATTGTGAACCCTGCTACTACTGTTGCTAATTCTGGAGCGTATAATATACAGTTTCAACAGCCACTGCAACAAAATCAGGTACCCTATATGTTCAGCTCATTCGGTCGTACCAGCAATTCGGGTAATAGGGTTTCTACGTTGGTTTCTCCCAGTGAGAGTGGATCTTCTCCTTCTAATGAGAACAAGTCTGAAAATAACTTTATGTTCTAATTAATTAATCTGATTTCACACAGATTTTTTATTTTTCCTCATCAGAGGTTTTTCCAAGTTTCAACTTCGGCGGCTTTGATTTTCATAAAACTGATGAATAAAGCTGGCCTGTACATATACTCCCACTAGGAAGAAGATCCCCGCTGCTTCTTTTTGTTTTACATATATAGGACTACTTAAATTTTGTTCACAATGTATTTTCCTCTTTTTGATATGTATTTTTCTTGATTTCTTTATTTATTTCCTTTTGAAAAAAATTATGTTACTATTTGGACCAATATAGGTTTTGATGCTCTTTCTGTGCGATTATTTTTACCATGCGGAATAATGCAAGTACACCCTATTGTACGGTATAGGGGCAAAGCTACACTTTGGTTAGGGTGGTCATTGACCACCCTTTATCGAAAAATTACATTGCGTATATAGGTTTAGAGGTACATAATATATATTGAATACTTTTTGTCGGATTTTCTTTTACTTCTTTTAAATATGAACACCCTTGAGGAAACTCCTGGCTTTGCCACTAATCCTATATATAGAAGAAAATAAGAATTGGAGTATTGCAAGTTCATAGGACTGAAACTTCTGACTGAGTGGAACTTTAGGGAATTTTATTAAGTACAATTGTAAATATTAAAGCATACATATAGACACGTCAAAACTTTGAGGGTCAAGCCTAACTGGAATTCTAACCTTTCTAAGTTCCAAAAATTAGGGCCAGTTGTTACACTTTGTTTTTGTGTCTTGCTAATAGGATAATATGTTTATATATTAAATTTTCAGCTAGTACATAGTGAGATCAGACCATACTAGATAATACAGGTAAATATTTACTCGTATATGGTATTTTTATAAATATAATAAATGCATGAGGTATGTCTTCACATACACTCTTATTAATAAACTGGAGTTAAATTAATATGTAATCTTAATCTCTAGTAACTCAACTATAGTAAAAAGTATAATTTGATGTAAACATCAATTGAAAATAATTTTTTACGAAAAAGAAAAAGATGTTCAAGAAAGCGAAGCGGGTCTGCGGGGGCACATCGCACACTTTCTCCTATTTGGCGAAAATTCAAATGGAAAACGACTGCACGTATGGTGAAAGAAAAGAAATTAAAATTTGCATATTTACAATATAGTACTAGTTTATATCATTATGTTAAGTTATACTCCCGTGAACCTATTTCCTTTTTGGTCCGTTCAAAAAAGAATGACCATGTTCTAAATTTGGAAACAATTTAGCTTAAACTTACAATTCTACTCTTAATGAGAAGCTTTTATAACCATACAAATACTCTGGACCCCTTTTTGATTTTGTTTAAGATCACAAACTCCAAAAGTCTATATTTTTTATTAAACTCCGTGCCCAATCAAACAGGTTCACATAAATTGGAACGGAGAGAGTAGTATGTAGTAAATGACTTGATGATATAAAAGATATATCAACTAATTTATTACAAATAAGTTAAATTAAAGGAAACAAAAAGAGATAGATACAGGCCGATTCCCGAAATGCCTTTCTGGATATTTTTCAATGTCCCGGCTATTTTACTAGTCTCTTTTGAAATAGGCCTATTTTTTCTCCAAGTTTGACCAATGAATCGAACGGGGTTTCAAGTTTTTCATTTCATGAACTAAATATGCGGTTCCTGAATATAACATTGAAAAAATTATTTATTAATTACTGTAATAAACGGAAGGGGGGGGGGGTGGGGGGGATGGCATGTTGACTTGTTGAATGAGAAATGGACGGGAAGAGGCTATGGGAGATGTATGGGAGCTTACCGGGTCCCACTGAACGTGTAAAGCGGAAAATTAGATATTATATTATCTTGACAAAGTCAATTTTAATTTCCTCACCCTAAAACTTTTTTTCTTCGTATAATAATCCCACTAATTCACATTACTCTTTAGTATTTTCTACGGCTACTCTATTTCATTAGATTCCTTTTGGCAATGGCAAGATTGGGTGGAGCATTTTTTATTAATTGTAAAAATAACAAAATTCCACCTTTTTTTGCTAATTAATTAACTAATCTAATCTTTGATTACATTCTTAAAAACATACCCCAACTTGGATCTGACTTTGAAATGTAACTACTATCAGCCCAACTGTCTTTGAGTTGCTTCCAAGTGTAGAAATCTAAACTCACGATCATCATTGATACTATCTTTTAGGGTTGTTTGGTATCATGGATAAACAAAAATAATCTTGGGATAAAAATTTAGTACCGCTTTATTCCTTGTTTGGTTACTAATCCTGGAATAAGTTATTCCATGATTAAAAAAATAGTATTGGAACAATTTATATCTGCCAAATGGTGGAATAAGAATTCCAGGATAAGTATCCCATGATAAAGCAGTAAAATCGACAATCCATGGTTTAATACAACATACCAAACAATAAATAAGAAATAATAACGGGATAACTAAGCCCAGCATAACTAATTTCAGTAGAACTAGTCCCAGCATAATTAATCTCAGCATAACTTATTTTGAAACCAAACCACTCCTTAAAGTGTACTTCATCAAACAAACAACACCATATATATATAAATTAAGATTTCTCTAATATTTTGTATAATTTAATATTTAAGTAAATTATTTTTATTTTAATTATTTAGGCATTAAATATTAAATATAGATAAATTATACTCATCGAAATATTATGTTGAGAAACAAACCGTTTTAATATATTATCTAATATTAAAATTTAAAGATAATATTTTAAACTCCGATTCAAATATCTTAATCCATTAAAAAAAAGGAAAATACAATACAAACAATGCCCAAGACTCTCAAGCTACTTTCTATTAGCAGGGATTCTCAACTTTGCTAAGAGAAAAAAAGGACAATTAGCTTGCTGCACAAAGTATTTTGTGTTCACGCAGGGTCGAACGAAGGGTCGTACTCTAAAGTGTATGATGTAGACAGCCTACCCTGATGCAAGATGGCCGATTCTCTAACTTTGCTAATTAGAGCAAATGGTCTAATCAATAGGCATAAGACTCCATCATCCATTTGATGTTTTGGTAGGTATGTGCAAATTGTCCCAAAAAAAGAAGAGAAAAGGAAAGGGTAATTTGAAAGGCATGCCACCAATTCTTACACTTCATTCAAACAGTTCTATAATTTCTTGTCTCTTTCATCATCAATTTTAAAAGGGTATAATCCAAAACTCAAATTTTTAAATATCAACATTCTCCTACTTATATTTGTCACCTTCTTTGTGTATCATTGCAGTCAGAAAAATGAATCCTAAAGCCATAATTTTCCCACTTTTCGTAGCAATAACTGCTGTTTTTGTATCAACAAATTTCACGTACTTCAACTGCATTCTTAATGTTAATCGACGCCATCACGATCATCGCCATCACTCCGATGATGATAAGGCAAAAATATCATCAATATGTGACAATTTTTCGCCGAATTTTCCCACTATAGACACTAATACCACGTCCATTCTATGCGTTGATCATAATGGCTGTTGTAATTTCACTACAGTGCAAGCTGCAGTTGATGCAGTTGGGAATTTTAGCGCGAAAAGAAGCTTAATATGGATAAACAATGGCATTTATTTGTAAGAATTATATTGTAGTTCTATATTGGTTTTTACAAGTGACTTTTGTTAATTTCTCTTGTTTTATTATGTAACAAATTATTTTTATTTGTTCGAAATGCAGTGAGAAAGTAATTATTCCAAAAACAAAACCTAACATCACATTTCAAGGGCAAGGGTATACCACAACAGCTATTGTATGGAATGACACTGCCAATTCTGCAAATGGCACATTTTACAGTGGATCTGTCCAAATTTTCTCTACCAACTTTATTGCCAAGAATATAAGTTTCATGGTATATTATTATCAACCCTTTCATTTACATGCAGGAAAAGTATATACTCCCTCTATCGAATAGTGATGTGTAGAAATTCTTATATACTTTTACTTGCATCGGTGTTTTAATAATTTAGCACCCTGCTACATATTTTATTGTCGACATTAATATATAATACAGAATGTAGCTCCAATGCCGGGGCCAGGAGCAGTAGGAGCGCAAGCAGTGGCAATTAGGATAGCAGGAGATGAAGCTGCTTTCTGGGGTTGTGGATTTTTCGGAGCTCAGGATACTCTTCATGATGATAGAGGTCGCCATTATTTCAAAGATTGTTATATTCAGGGTTCTATCGACTTTATTTTTGGCAATGGCAAATCATTGTACGAGGTACTCCCTCCGTTTCATATTATTTGAGGTAGTTTGACTCGGCACGGAGTTTAAGAAAAAAGAAGAAGACTTTTGAAACTTGTGGTCTTAAAACCTTAAGGGGTAAAAGGTTTGTGGGGCCATGCCATTTGTGTGGCTATAAAAGCTTCTCATTAAGGGCAAAAAGGATAAAATGAAGAGTTTAAAGTTGAATTATTTCCAAATTTAGAAATGTGTCATTTGTTTTGGTACAGACTAAAAAGAAAAGTACCTCATTTAATATGAAACGGAGGGAGTAACTTTTATTTCACCTAATCATTTAGTTAGTCGTTTTGACAAACTGAGTTTGTTTTAAAATATTTAACGTTTTAGAAAAATGATAAGTAATAGGAGTACTATTATTCGGATCTATCCTTAAGAGTATTAATTAAGTGAGATGTTAAGGAGAGCTAGATTTATTAATACTCCTATAATTTAGATAAATACTTTTTTGATTAAAGCTATTAATAAGTGATTTTCTTGAGAGATGCACTTAGTAGCATTTATCGCGTCGCAAGTACGAAAAAGATTGTTTAAATTTCAAAGTACATGTTTTCTTTATCCCATAAAATACATAATATTTCACTTGCTCCATTTCTTTCTAATCAAAACAAGCACATATCAAATGCACCTAGTAGTTAAAATAAATGAATAAATGATAAAGTTTGAAGAGGTTTGTATAAGGAGTACAGTCAAACATCTCTATAACAACTTTATTTGTTCCAGTTTTTTTTGGTTGTTATAGCGAAATGCTGTTATATAGAACATATATTATATCATAACATAAAAATTAGTTGCAGAAAAACTTGACTTTTATAGAGAATGGTTGTTATATAGCGATGCTATTATAGAGAGATATGACTCTATTACTAATAGTTTCAAGAACATGCAGAACTGCCAGTTGATATCAATAGCAAGCCCAGTAGCAGCAGGAGTGAAGTCGATTAACGGGGCTGTGACAGCACACGGCAGAGCTACCAAAGACGAAAACAGCGGCTTTGCATTCGTAAACTGCACTTTGGGAGGGACTGGTAGGATTTGGTTGGGCCGTGCATGGAGGCCTTACTCCACTGTCATCTTTGCTAACACTTACATGACTGATATCGTTGCTCCCGAGGGCTGGAACGACTTTAACGACCCTTCAAGAGATCAGTTAAGTCGTTTCATCTCATCTAAACGTTTAAACTATTATAATAATTTTTTTTACAACTCAACGTTGGAACTTTTCCCGTTAAAGTGAGTTATAGCCCAGTTCCTCTCTTTAGTCCATCCTATTAATTGCCTGGATAAATCCCCTACCAATGTAACATTTCGTGCAATATATCACAGCTGCAACTTCACATTTGAAAAACAAATAAGCATCAACTTCACTTAGACGCACCATCATTGTTACGAACTAATCTTCTCCAACATACCTTCACTACACGAAATAAGGTTTTCAATCACGATGTTTTTTGGCGATTTCTTTAGTTGCCACCAAAAGTAGTGCTATCTGTTTTGAGTAGTGACCTACCTAAAATCTATTTTGTGATGTATCTATTTACTTTTTTGTGGCAATTCGCCAGAAAAACAAATAATAAAGTAACAAAAACAATGCAAATGGGCGGATGCCACACATGATTTACATTGTTCCAAGCTTGGCGAGAAATATTCACAAAAATTATATGTAATATATATAAATAAAAATGAAAATGGTTTCAATTAACTAATATTCTATGAGAAAATTAATCTTTAAAATAATATTCTCCCCTTCAACAACTCACTTTCATGTTTGTTACTGTGAGCAGTGGCGGAGCCAGAATTTTAACTATGGCGAGTCAAAATATAAATAAGTAAGCACACAAAGAATTATCAAGGGGAGTCAATGTATAGTATATATACATAAAATTAAAAATTTAACGTATTTACACATTGTAATTTTCTGATGAAAGGGTGTCAATTGACTCCCCTTGTCAATGAGTGGCTCCGCCACTGTGCTTGAGCACTATCGGAAATAAAATTTTCAGTGATGATGTTCTGTAGCCAGGGGCGAAGCTACATTCTCTTAAGGGTGGTCAATTGACCACCCTTCATCGAAGAATTACATTGTGTATATATGTAAAATATTAGGTTTTAGAGGTATATAACATATACTGAACACTCTCCGTTGGAGAATTTTTTTTTACTTCTTTCAAGTTTGAATATCCTTGAGGAAATTTCTGGCTTCGCCAGTGTCTGTAGCGATTAGCCGCCACCAAAGGTAGTGATATATGTCGATGGCATTACTTTCAATGGTCACTTAATCTGTCACCACAAAATGTCGTCACTGAAACTTTTATTTCCCGGCATACGTAGTCGCCACGGAAAAGAGCGACATGTAGCTCTAACTTTGGTGACGACTTGTTTAGAGGGTGTTTGGATTGACTTATTTTAAGTGCTTATTGGCTTTTAAGCACTTTTTAAATTTGTGTGGTGTTTGACAATGATTAAAAGTGCTTAAAAGCACTTACTTTTAGGCATAAAAGGTACAAAAATAAGCCAAAAGCCAAAAGTTGGTATTACCAACTTATGTCTTTTGACTTTTAGCTTAAAAGCTACTTTTTATAAGTCAATCCAAACTCCATCTTAGTCCCACGAGAAATCTCTTTTTTTCCCTGATGTGCTCTAACAATTAAAAAAATAGTAAAGTAAGTTGTTAAATCTATTTCTTTAAAGTTTTACTTTTTATCATAAAAAATATTAGTTAATCAAAATAATTTTTTATTTTACATATAATATTTGTGAAATTTTTTCATCAAAGCTTGGATCAATGTGAATGTGCATCCGACCATGTTGTATTAATTACTATTATTATTTTTATTATTATTATTATTATTATTATTATTATTATTATTATTTTTTTTTTTTTTAATTTTTTTACGGAGACTACGCCCGCCAAAATATGTTTTAGATAGGTCGCTACTGAAGGTTGATAGCACTACTTTTGGTGGTGACCAAAGATAGGTCGTCGTAGAACGTCATCACTTAATATATTATTCCTATAACGCTCTAACAATAACATACATTAAAGTTAGTTGTTAAATCCAAGAAGATTAATCTTTAAAGTATTACTTTCTTATAAAAATATCAGTTAATTAATTTTCTTTAAATGTAATTTTTGTGAAATTTTCGGCAAGGCTTGGAACAATCTGACTGTGCATCAGCCCTAGTTGTATTGTTATTCCTGTTTTGTTATTATATTTTTTGGCAATTAAACTCACCATAATAAATTGAAAATGTACCACAATATAAATTTTAGCTAGGTCGTTGCTCAAAACATATAACATTTACTTTTGGTCATGACGACTAAAAAGATCATCACAGAACGTCGGCACTAAAAACCTTATTTTAGAGAGTGCTTATCATAATAAAATTTATTTGTTTTCAACTTGTTTTCAACTTAACATTATCATTCTACTTATATTATTGGTTGTAAAGTTTAACAGATTAGAATAATTTATACAGGACAATCTTTTATGGGGAGTACAATTGTTCAGGAGCAGGATCCAGTATGACATTGAGAGCACCATATGTTCAAAGACTAAATGATACACAAATTCTTCCCTTCCTCAACTCGTCTTTCATTGATGCTAATTTGTGGCTCCAATCTTTTACCTCTTAGCATCCTTCTCCATAGAGGTGAAGCTAAGATTTGAAGTTTATGTCTTCAGGTTTTGACCGAACCCTCAATTGCAAGGCTAGCTCCGTCTCTGTGGCGCGTGCACATATACAAACCACATTTCCGAATTAGACGAGATTATTATACTTTTTATTATGGGTTTATTTTTTATCCATTGACAGTACCGTAGATGAACTTGCATAATCAGTGGAATTTAACAATAAAAGATTCTTATTTTTCATATTTAATGGATACTGTAACAATGTGTAGAAATTAAATCCGTTATTATTATTATTATTATTATTATTATTATTATTATTATTATTATTATTATCAAGCGACATGAAGATTTATCACGAATTTTATTCTAGCTATCAAGTATTCTTTAATTAGAAAAATAAAAGAATTCTCTTCTCATGTATTCCATAGTCTTTCTTAGATTTCCTATTCTTTTTAAGTGGCAAAGGGGAAATTTTTTAAGATTGCTAAAACAAAAATACGAAATAATTAAAAAGCAAAGTGCAAGATGCTGTTTTGTCCCGAAGAATGGCCATAATATTTTGACGCTTTGCCCTACATATAATGCAAAAAACAATAAATTAAGCTCATCTGCTTAATTAGTAGGCTGACCTATAAATTGAATATATTGATAAGCAGATAATCTAGGACAGGAGGACCTACAAATTCTTGGTCATTTAATATTTTGAGAAGAAAGGAGAGTAAAGGTACATTGGTCTAGCTAGTGAAGAGTTATCCACAATATAAAACCAACGAAAGAGAAAAAAAAGGTACAATCTCTAATAAAAGTATAGTCCTGTTTATAAACCTTGTACACGTAATGTGTTTTTTTTAATATGTGCTGTTTCTATGAAAGATATCAAGGTCACCTTTATTTGTAGTAATAATTTGAAAGCGGATAACCTGGTACTGGATGATATAATTTTATCCATAAAAATGGTAGCTGTTTTGCTTATAGCTTTTGTTTCTTCAAGATAGTGCTTATATTGTTTTGCATCTTCTATTTACTTGTTACATGAGGAGCTAGGTTAAGAAGAAGAAACTTTTCGTTTACTTAGCATAGGACTGATAATATAGGCCAAGTCAGCCATGTCTAGGGGTCAAATTGGTGGGTTGGGCTAATTTTGAGCGGGTCAAAATGGATTGAGTCAATAATTAAGGGGTCAAATGACCCGCCCAAAAGTTACTTAGTCTAAGATGAGTTGGGTCAAGATGGGCTAAAATTCGGGTCATAGCCCAACCTGTCCAACTTTTATCAAGCTTTACTTAATGTGTTGTTTTCTTATGAATTGTATAATTACTAAATAAGATTTTTTTTTTTGTTATGGTCATATATAACATATCAAACAAAAACATTATTTCTAAGATTTGACAAAGTTACTCATGGATAAATTTGAGTTACAAATTAGTCCAACTTTAAATGAGTTGGGCTGAATTGGGTCGAGATGGTCTAAGTTCAATAAATGGATGGGTCAATAACCAACCCTACCTTGGGCGAATCATTTGGGCTTGGGCCAAATTTGAAAGCCCTAGCCATTTCTGTCTCAAGACGAGGCAAACCTTCTTTGATCATTTTAGGCAAACCTGAGAATGATATTTGTCATGCTAACTTAAGAAAGAATTACAAGAAAATACACATGACTTCACACCATAACAAAAAATGGTCCATATTTTTAAGTTTTACCGACCTAGCCCATATTGTACATATTTTGAAAGCACTAGCAAATTCAAAATCTGTGTTCTTACAACTATTGCTTCTAAAGCTATGGAGTTAAATCTGTGTTCTCACAACCATTGCTTTCGCTCTCTCTTCTTCTCACATCTTCTACATANAATGTAAGAAAATTGAAGAGTAGAAGTCCACCATTGAAGGCGATTCAAAGCTTTGCTTTTAAAAATAGGATTTTTTGAGTTTGTTAGTTGTTTGGATTGAGTATTGTTCCAATTGATTGAAAATATCAAAAGGAGTTCAAAATTTTAATTTGAAGTGATTTGGAGTAGATTTGAGTTAAATTTCGGAAAAGACGCAAGGAAGAAGACGAAGTCAGTTTTTTGTATAATTATGTATAATCTCGTATAATAGAGTATATGAGTGTATAAACACATCTTATACACTATTATACACTTTTATACACCTTTATACAAGCGTCTGTAGACGAACTTCTTCCACGATTTTCAGTTGCAATTCTTGTTCAAAACCAGTCCAAATCTCCATTAAATGACTTCAAATTTTATATACAACCTTCTTATACTATTTCTAACAAGTCTAAATAACACCCACTCCAAATTTCTCACAAAATCAAATTCGGAATTTAAACCCCGTATGTAAGCTTGTTAAAAATCTAATTTTCACCACCCAAATGGATTTGGTTTGTTGAACTAATATTTGAGTCACAGTTACTGATTTAAAAATTAACTTAAATGTTTGAGCAATCTTTTTTAAAAATTAAATAGTAATTTCGAGAATCTATTGGAGTTGGATGTTGAATCTTAGCCTATTATTTTTGGGCTAGTTGGTTGTAGATTAAAATATGGGCTATAAAATTTAAAAGTAGGGAGCCAGTTGTTCTTATGTGAAATTTTCCCCTAACTTAAAGTGAAATTACCCGAGTATAGAATGAGGTTGTAGGATTTGAAAACTGGAATCTTGGTCAACCTTGCATTGTCTATACCATGCGCAACATGATGGTTTTTGTATGAACATTTCTTAGCGAAGATCCTCGTAAAGTTCTTTGTGCTTCCCGTGTTATTGATGTTTTGTACTTCAAAATCACACCGTGTGATGTCCAATTTTTCGTGTGCATAGATTATAGAATGACCTGGTTCTTCTATGCATTCCTTATACTATAGTTGCAAAATAATAAATGAAGAAAATAAAGAACATAATTATTTTTATGTGAAAAATACCTGGCTCAAAAGGTAAAAAAACACGATCTACTACCCAGTGAGATTTTTTCCAACACTTCACTAAATCACTGAGCCAAAAATAGCGTTTACAAAACTCTTCTAAACCTAAGGATTACCTCTAACCCTTGTGAGCGTTAGAATTTGAGAGAGAGAGACTACGAATTAGGATGCAGTATATTCAGAAAGAAAGAAGTTCTGGAGTGTTTTTCGTGTGTAGAAAATGGAGCCTTGCCTCAGAATTTATAGGCAATTATCAGAAGAGGTGTCTGGAAAAGGTACCTTTTCAGAAGCCAAAGCCAAATCGAAAGCCAAAGCCGAAGCCGAGCCGAGCGAGTGACGACGGTTCATTCTCTTCAACTCCTTTTAAGAGCTTTAAGAAGTGATTCTATATATAAGCACACAAATGTGGTTGTCCCTCACCAATGAGGGACAAAGTGCAAGACAAAAGTTCACTTCTTCAAATTTTCAATTTCCCTCCATTTTATTTCCCTCCATTTCCAATTCACACTTCTTCTACTTTAAAGCCCAATGGCTTCAAGTCCAACAATCCCCCACATGAATGGGAATGGCTGTATCGAGAAAGATCATAGATGAAAGCTATGTGATTTTGCAAGTAAGGATTAATTGCATCTGGATAAGTAGGTTTCCCTTTGAACTTTCCGTAGTGAACATATGTCGGATATACTCGGTCAATCGGTAGATTTGATATCTTTGAACCGTCGAACTTTAGTGTATACCTAGACAACCATATGTCACACAACCAACCCTTAACCGTCTTTTGGTTCTCATTGTTGTGTTCGTTTTAGCCATGAACACCGCCTNGTTTGGATTAAGGTGTTTGCATGGAAAGTATTGAAATGTGTTTTAGAATCGGAAATTGTTTAATCCTTTGAGGCAAAATAACATGTATTGTAAAATCAAACGCGAAGACTACTTCCTTGTGTTGTTGCGTGGTATCGAACCAGAAAATTCATTTCTGTTTGAAGCTGGCTTGCGTTTAAAAAATGGGCTCTCTCATGAGCCCACTTGGATTGATATCAATTCGGAACTCAAAGTAGTCTTACGCCTGGGGACCACTGTGCCCCATACTGGACCCAATATTGATTTCACGTCGCTGGGCCTGGCTTCACATGGAGCCCGATTTCTTCAGGTGTTAAATCTGCAACCATGTTTAATCACATCAGGTTTATTAGTTGGACCCTCGGTCCATTTGTGCTAGACTGATCCCTTGCTCGAAATAAGTAACTCTCCTCGTGTGAATCATTAGTCAGTCGAAGGGAAGCCTTTAATCACATTTAGTTCTAGCGGGTTAAGCCCATTAACTAGATTGAAGTGAGCCTTAATTAGATAACTCGCAGTGCGCGACCCTCATGAATTAGTCTAAGACCGTTAAGCTAGAACATATTGAGGCGCGCCAAGCCCGATAAAATCTCAGATGCTTGGCCCCGTTCAAATATTTCTTTTAAAACAATTGGAATCCGAGGCGTGCCATTTAGCAAAATTTCATGGCCCTCGCAAAGCCAAGACGCGTGGTTGCTTTAGGCGCGTGTATTTTAGTAATATTACTTTCTTAAACACGGGTGCACATTTATGTGACCCAAATCTAAATCTCAACGGAGTCGAAATGCGTCAAAAGCCACGGGTGCACTGGTGTAACGTGGTTCGAGATACATTTTCACGACGTTGCAATTCTTATTAAAAGACATAAAGTAAAAGTGGTTAAAATACAGGGCACATAGGTTAGAATATGTTTTAAAATCAGATAAAAGCAAATACCGCAGTTGAGCGACCGTGCTAGAACCACGAAATCCGGGAATGCCTAATACCTTCTCCCGGGTTAACAGAATTCCTTACTCGGAATTCTGGTTCGCGGACTGTTAACAGAGTCATAATTTCCTCGGATCGGGATTCAACCGGTGACTTGGGACACCATTAATCTCCTAAGTGGCGACTCTGAATGTTAATAATAAATCCCGTTCCGACTGTCCTTTAATTGGAAAAAATCCTTTACACCCTCACAGGCGTAGCGTAAAAAAGGAGGTGTGACAGCTCTGGCGACTCTGCTGGGGAATCGAACCCAGAATCTCTGGTTCAGGTTTCAGAATTCGAGCTTAGATATATTGTTGTATTTGGCTTTATCTGATTTTCCTACATGTTTCATGCTAAATGTGCAAGATGTTGCTTTTTACCGCTTTGATATTATCTGGAATTGCATATAAACTATGCCGAAACCCTTCTCTTCTCACCTCCGGGGATGTGCTTACTGGTTGAGACTCCCTATTCTGTTAGTGTCAATACCCTGAAATAAGAAAGAGGCCGGACAAGTTACTAAGCCGGATGGCCTTTTGGTTCCCGGTACGTAGCCCCTT